TTTAATGCTTTTGTCACTTAATAAAAATCTTTGTATTTTTCCCAAATATGAGTTCTGAATTTAATATAAAAATTACTACAACCACATAGCCGAGTAATCTCCATCATTCATGTTACTCACTTGTCGTGTTGTGGTGGCGCGAACGCCTCTTGGCTCTCGTGGATTTCAACGGTCTGTAGGCATTGTAGGCATGCCCAATGTGGGCAAGTCAACATTGTTTAATGCCTTGACAAAGACTGAAGTAGCCCAGGCGGCCAACTATCCATTCTGTACCATCGATCCAAATGTTGCGCGAGTAGCAGTGCCAGACAAGCGTGTGCGACATCTAGCGGATGTGGAAGCTTCCAAACGTGTGATTGAAACTCAGGTTAGAATAGACACATAGTTTTACCCAAAATTTGTTTTGACTTTGTCATTGGCAGCTCGAATTTGTCGATATTGCTGGACTGGTGCGTGGTGCCTCGCGTGGTGAAGGTCTAGGTGCGTTGCAAATTAAAATATGGCACTTTGCGATAGCTTTACTCATTAATTGACTAAATAACAGGTAACAAGTTTCTGGAGAATATTCGACAGGTCGCTGTCATCGCTCATGTCATAAGATGCTTCGAGGACACAAATATCATTCATGTTGATGAATCTGTGGACCCCATACGTGACTTGGAAACGATTCGTACCGAGTTGATACTAGCCGATTTGCAGACAGTGGAAAAACGTTTGGCTAGTTTGTCAAAGAAGAAAAAGTCGGTGGGGTCTGCATTTTAAAACAGGATACGGAATTTTGTTCTTTATTGGCTTGAGTGTTTTGTGCTAGATCAACAGACCCAACAATCTCGACGCTGTTTGATGTCTTGAGTCGTTTGCAGTCACATTTGGAAGATGGCAATTTGGCAGACAAAATGATGTTCAAGACGCTTGATGAGCAAATGCAATTGAAGAATTTGCAGCTGTTGACGGCCAAAAAAGCATTATACCTTTGCAATGTGTCGGAACAAGATGCAGCTACGGGCAACGAGATGGCAAAAGCGGTGCGTGAGCGTGTCGAAGCGGAAGGAAGTGTGTGTTTGACAGTATCTGGCTCCTTGGAAGAAGCTGCTGCATCGTTCGAGGATAACGAGAGTCAGCTTGAGTATTTAAATGAAAGCGGATTGAGTGAAACTGGATTGACGAGGGTCATTCGTGCCAGTCAGGAGCTTTTACAATTGCAGACCTTCTACACAGTCGGCGAAAAGGAGGCACGAGCTTGGAATATATTAGCCGGGTCGACTGCTGCTGTGGCTGCTGGTACCATTCACTCCGACTTTGAAAAATTATTGATTCGTGCGGAAACTGTTGGCTACCAGGACTTTGTATCTGCTGGTAGTATGCGTGCAGCCAAGGAAAAGGGGCTTTTGCGCTCTGAAGGCAAAGATTATATCTGCCGCGATGGTGACATTTTTAATTTTCTTGTTGGGAAATAGACGCTACCGTAACGTGCAGTGATCATAGACATACATAGAGAAACCCTTGTTAAGAACATTTTATGGTCCTTTTTGGAACTTCTTCAAGTATGACTACTTCAATTCTATGAAATAGTATGGCACCAAATATACAAGCTGGATATCAACTGAGTACTACCATTTTGACAATATTTTGCAATTAGATGAATATGCACTTCTAGTGAAAAACAGTCTTTGTTGTTTGCATTTGCGAAAACTTTTTTCCGAAGTGGCCTTGCACCTGTTGCCTTACTGCGCGGAGGATTCGGGGAGTCAGACTGCTTGGAATGTTCAGGATGATATATCAAGATAATTCTGACAAAGTACTAATATACTGCTGACTGCTACTGTAAAGTAGTAATCGAGAAATAGTAAGATAAGAAGGTTCCGAATAAACGTACTTAATATGTGATAAACGGTAATAGGGTTTCTTGGTGATGTACACAGGCAAATCTCCCACACCAAAGTTGAGTGTATATAATGTTAATATTAAGTTATTCACATTAGTTTTCGTAATCACTATATATTCTATATTTATAGTCACGTGATCTCCGTAAGTTTCATGACTCTAGTACATAACAGGAGGTCACAATCCATTATCTGTCTTATCTATGTCTAAATCTTTCTGTTCTTCAATCAATATGATCTGATTGGTGGGACTAAACAATGTCATCATTTTCGTAGAAGAATAGAATAACATTCGTAATCAGCCAAGAAACTAATTCAATTGATTTGTTGATTCTTAATTCTACTTTTGTCAAGTAAATCAATGGATATGGGTGGCATACGTACCATAACCAGATGACGAATCATTGAATATAGTACCTTGACTCAGATGGACTTCATTTCCAAATCTTTCCCCTTTAAAACAATCAAAATGGTCAACACTTCCTGCGCTAAGAATGATAGTCGCCCTCAAGTCCCCGATAACTGGAATGCTTCGCAGATCACATCTCAGAAGGGTAAAACTGTTATTATAACAGGAGCAAACTCTGGCATAGGGTATGAGACTGCTCTCGAGCTTGCGCGCAAGGGAGCGAATGTAGTTCTCGCCTGTCGTAGTGAAGAGCGAGGGAAAGAGGCTGAGAAGAAGCTTCGTGAAGCTTTAG